GTCAGTACAGGGGAGTCTATCAACGTCTATTGCAATACAAAAATATTCTCCAAAAAATAATACAGATGCAACTACAATTGCGGAAACTGTATATTCATATCATGTAGTTCAACATTCACAGAGCTATCTGTCATCACAATGTGGGTCGAATCTCTTCCCCATAATATTTAACGACTCCAAAATAAGTGCTAACTTTACTTGTGGTAGGACAAAAATGAGCAAGGCTATCACAAATGTGTTAGGACCTGAATCCAAGAGGTCAATTCTAGACGATTTGAAAGAAGGGCATCCATATGCTATTTTAACAGATGCATCAAATAAGTGAAATATTAAAACTTTTCCCTGATTCTTTGCTATTTCAACAAGAATAAGGGCATTTCTATAAAACTATTGAAATTTTTTTCATCCGATAGTGAAAAATCCAACGATATAGCTAACCACATAATGCTAAATATAGCTGATTCAGGGTTATCAATGAGTTGCATGTCAGCTTTCTGCGCTTAATGCCTCTGTTAATTTTGGCAAAAATCAAAGTGTATTTACCGAATTGAGGCAGCACAATAGTGAATTAATACCAATTGGCTGTATATGCCATATACTGCATAATTCTTGCAAGAAGGCAATGAATGCACTATCTGTAGATGTCGAAATAATTGTGATGAAATGTTTTAACGAATTTAGTTCATCAACTAAAAGAGTCACTGAATTAAAAGAATTAGTGGAGTGGTCTGATTTGGAATGGTGTGAGTTGTTGCGATATGTACCTATCAGGTGGTTATCATTAATACCTGCCATCGAGAGAAAAATTTTATGAACCCTTAAAGAAATACTTCTTAAATAAAGATTTTAAAAGCTGTCCAAAAATTTTGAAAAATTTAAATTTTTTCGAAGATGAAATGTCAGAAGCATATTTAGGATTAGTTTCACATGTAGGAAATCTACTTCATGTAGTTACAGTTGCAATCAGAAGATTCTTTATTGATAAAGATTCACAAAATTATGCTACAGCTCTGTTCATCTCTACAGTTAAAAATAGATAATAAATTTTATAGCGCTATTGCTAAAAATATCATATTAAAATGTTCAAATATAACTATAATTAACGTATTTTTAAATGAAGCAAATATTTTTATTAAGACAATTTTGGAATATTTACAATCAAAATTTGATTTTAATAACTCTATTTACAAGTGTATAAATATTATGACCTTGGAACAGAAACCATCATTTGATGGTTTCTGTAATTTAATAAATATATTAAAATTACCGATAGACATTGAAGCCTTGTTTGAAGAGATTGTATTTTTTCCATTTTTTATGATTCGCCAGAATACTTAAAGTTAGATAGTCTAAAAGCAGAGGAGAAATGGGTGGAATTTTTTCGTAATAACGATAAATCCCCATGCTTGGAAAAAATTTGCGAGTATGTTTTCTCCTTACCTCATTCTAATGCCTCATCGGAGCGCATTTTTAGCCTGATGAGGACTGCCTGGAGAAAGGAGAGAAATCGAATTGCTTTAACAACATTAGAGGCCGAGTTAATGGTTAAACAAAATTATAAAATGTCATGCCAGGAATTTTATAAATATCTTAATAACGACGGTAAACGTTTAGTTCCATTATTTAAATCTCAAATAAAATATAATTAACTAAAAATATTTGACTTTCTATATTTTATAAAATCTTATTTATACATTTGCATAAAATCAAATAAATTTATTTTTTACATTGTAAAATTAATATTTTGAATATTTTGGCAAATCATAAAAATAAAGTAGCATTACAATCTCCATAAACATGACATCATATTAAATCTTATTAATAATTACGATAATAGTAATAATATTCTTACTTTGGTATTTCTGCAGCATAATTTAGTGAACCTTTATTAAATTATATTCTTCTGATTGCAACTGCATATTAACAGCATATAGTAGATTTCCTATATGTAAAATTCCTCAATATACTTCTGCCATTTATTTAAATTTTTTTCAAAATATTAGGACAGCTTTTATAATCTATTTATTTTTTAAAGGTTTGTAAAATTTTAAAATTCTACGATGGCGCGTATTAGGAGGAACCTGTCAACCAACATTATGCTGACTCAATTCTGTAAATACACTCTGGGTTTTGCCAAATTCACTGAGGAATTATCAGATCAGAAAGCTGCCATGCAATTCATTGGTAATGCCAAATCTGCCATATTTACCATTATATATGGTTAGCTATGTCTTTGGATATTTCATATCTGGAGAAATTTTTTTTAATAGTTTTATTGAAATGACATTTATTTTGTTGAAATAGGGGAGGATTAAGGGAAATGTTTTGATATCTCCTTATTAGATGCATCTGTTAGAATTGCATATGTTTGCACATCTTTCAAATCGTCAAGAATTGACCTTCTGGATATATATCCTAAATCATTGTTTATAGCCTTTCTCATTTTGTGTTCTACAAAGTATACTTTTCATTTATATTAGTCGTTAAATATTATGGGGAAAGATTCAACCAACATTGAGATGTTGAGTAACTCTCTGAATGTTGTACTGCATGTAGGTATTTACCATTTCCGCAACTGTAGTTGCATCTATATTATTTCTTATTTTTGAAGAATATTTATTTTTGTTTTGCAATAGATGTTGATAGAATGCCCTGTACTGATTTATGCATTGAAGATTTTTGATACCTCAAAATATTATATTCCCTTCCCCCATTGTATTAACTAAATACTGTAGAACAACTTCCCCGCACTGATTATAATTATTTTTTACATTGTAAATTTAAAATTGTTTGTTTTTTTATAAAATCTTATTTATACATTTATTTTTTTACATTGTAAAATTACAATTTTTTTATAAAATTTTATCTTGTTTACATTCTTTTGTATTTAAAAAAGATCGTTGGTTATTATTTTTAAACAAAATTAATATATTATAATAAATCAATATGTTATTTTAATAATAAAGATAGTACTCTAAGAAATTTTGTGTCGTACAGTAATTACCTATTTTGAAAAATAGTTGCGTATTTTATTTTGGAAAATAGTTACCTATTTTATTTTAAAGAGTTACCTATTTTATTTTGAAAAATAGTTGGCTATTTTATTTTAAAGAGTTACCTATTTATAGTTGGATATTTTATCTTGAAAAATAGTTGGCTATTTTATTTTGAAAAATAGTTGGCTATTTTATTTTGAAAAATAGTTGGCTATTTTATTTTGAAAAATAGTTGGCTATTTTATTTTGAAAAATAGTTGGCTATTTTATTTTGAAAAAAAGTTAGCTATTTTATTTTGAAGTTAGCTATTTTATTTTGAAAAATAATTACCTATTTTATTTTGGAAAATCGATTAGATTTTATATTTATAAAAAATAATAAGCGGATAACTAAGTCAATTCTAAATCCCGGCCGCAGGCCGAACCTTTGCGGGCCGCAAAAAAATTTTTTTTAGCAATTTCTCCCACAATTTTTATATTTCTCCCACAAAATACCTAATTTCTCCCACAATTTGAAAATTTTGACCTGGCAACCCTGGTTACTACATGAAATTAGATATTCAAACATTTTATTTTCCTTCTCATTATCAAATACTTGTTTATTATCTTGACACATCTATATTTTTATAATGTCTTAAAAAATTTGTAGTAGGATTCTTATTATCAAGCCAAAATAATATCCTGATAACTAAAATGTTCATATCTATTAAAAGGTAATAATTTGAATCGTATTATATTTTCAATTACAATAGATATTATAGATAGAAAATCTTTGTTCATTAAATATAATTCATTTTAAATAATTGTTGATCTTAGTATCAAACTAATAAATGTTTTATATGTTCATATCTGATTGATTGATTGATTAAATATAATTATAATTTGAAATTAATCATATAATATGCCAATATGATATCACAATATCTATATCGCAACAAATTGCAAGATATTTATTTATTAAAATTGAAATATATATGAAAAATTACATTAATAAATTTATATAATAATTATAATTTTATGTATTAAATTTATAAAATATTATATTCTAACCATGTTATTTTTCTTGATGACATATCATTATCACACAATTTTATTTATTTTCATAATCATGAATTTTCTTAGTTGGAATTTTGCGTATATCTTTGTGTATCATTAAAATCGGTTGAGCCGATAAGCCCCTTAGGCCGACTAGCTCTGTTCTCCCTTATTGGTTAAAATTAATTATATGAAATGTCTTATATTGAGTTTTTCTGAAATGTCGAGGTGTATATTATAATCAAATCCTTTCTTCTTATAAATCTTTAAGTAATCCTTTGGCTTCTCTATAATTTAAATTGATTTAGTTACACCGTTATTTTTAACTTCTTACTCTTGATTGTATAGGATGTTAATAAGGTATTAAATGTATTCCATGATGATAATGACATTGACGGTAAAATATATTAAATAAATATTATTTAAAAAAATCAATTTATCAATCATGAAAATAAGACATCTTGAATATAAAAAAAAGTTTTATATTTCAAGGCTTCCAAAATTTCGATTGAAGTTAAAGATTTTTATAGTTATAAAATAATATTACTGTCAGACAATGGTAACAAATTTGAACCGATTTTAAAATTGAAGAAGAAAAAAATACTTTTATACCATTATTACAATAATAATCCAGTTTAATATCAAGATGATTATTCTTAAATCTTTCGTATCTATAAATTATGATTGCATTATTTTCATGGCTGTGAGTTCTTCTTCTAAAAAAAATAGGTTCGGGCATGGGTCAGAGTTTAGTAAAAAAATCTCTGAACCCGGTTGGGTTCAGGTGTGTTCAAGCTTTGGAGACCAGTAAAATAATGACTTATAAAATTTAGATAAAATAACAAAAACATTATTTTTTTAAATTTTTTTTATTATAATTAGTACTGCCATAAAAATAATTTATTATAATTATAATATATAACCAATGTGTTATTTTTTATACAATTTTAAATAATTTTTTGAGCGCGTTTTTAAAAATTTAAAAATCGTATTTTTCTAGGAAATATATTCTATCATGTTTGGAAAAGCTATCTTGTGGATTGTAGGCAATTTTACGTAACCTTTGTGTCGTTTTTATTTCTAATGATGAGCTAATTTGAATCATTTATGATTTATGTTTTCCCCAAAATTCCGTTAAAGGAGCTCTAGCAACCTATTCCTGATCAATAGTTAATAAGATTTGATATCTGGGGTCTAAATATAGTGATGCATAAAAATATTATTATTTAAATAAATATATTCTCTCTAAATCTCATATGCCCTAATATCACATTGGAAATATTATTGTCTTTTTTTTCCAATTCTAAACAGCATTTTATCAAATGTCATAAAAATCGGAGAGGCACATTAGCTCCGATTCTTGTCTCACGTAACCTTAACTGGTTTCAAAATTTCAGATATGTTAACTATTGAATCCCATTCTGTTTCATATAGAATAACATCCGATGGTGTAATAAAGTCTATACAAAAATATTCAATATTAATAACCGATCCAAAATATCATAAATTCAATTATTGCTATTATTTGTCTTTTGCATTATAATTTATGATTAAAAATTTTTATCGAGAAATGGGGAGAATTCGGCAAATAGTCAAATAGTTGAGGGTCTTTGGACATTATTATAAAAAAACGACTCAATCAAACTAAAATTCTGAGGGTATTAAGTTGAATATATTATTTAAAATATAAAGCTTCATAAAATACCATGACACGTTTTAGATTTATATAGATTTTTTTTTTCTTGCAACCCAGTTTACTGAATTACTCCGGAACGATATTAATTAAATATGCCTGGCACAGTATACCTTAGACAGTAATAAGTTTAATATTATATAAATATTGGCCATATTTTATAGAGATATAAGGGCATTTTTACAAATCTTTACAAATTAGAACCCACATTGACCGGTCTAAATCGGATTCAATCTAACTCGGGTAAGTCAAACACGGATTATTTTCTCGAATTATCATAAAAAAATTTGGATCAGACTCAAAAACTGGACGAAATTTTAAATTATTTCGTTTTTCCATATCTTTCTATGAATACTTTTAAGAATAATAATAAATATAGGTCTATAATCGCTTTCAAAGCTTATAATATTATTAGATTTCAATGGGTCGGACTAGGTAATATAGATATCTATATATCTTTGGTAGATAAAATATTATTGGTAACGCTGTTCCATCATACACAATGTAGAGGCCTATATTATGTTTATATTTATACCTAAGTTAGAGGTTAATATTTTAAAATTTCTTACACTAATGAGATTCATACGTTTCCCATGGAACTAAATTATAAATCCCAATGATATCTTCCTTACAAGCATTTATGGTTGGTTCATTGATGTCTAGGTTAAAATCGATATTAATATATCTGCACGAAAAGTTATAAGCTCACTTAGAGATTAAGAATATTTGAGTGGAACAAACGTCTAATTATCTGGCAAAACATATTAATTATAGTTAACCATTTTATAATTTTTTTTATCCCATTTCTCATTTATGCATACATATTTTTTAATTCATTTTTTATATATCATTAGATTTTTTATATATATATTTTTAATTATAATTCGTAAATGAAAAATTTGTGAAAATTTGTTACTTAAATAAAACTTCTAAAATATTTAAAATAAAAAAAAACCATTATAGTTAAAATTATTTATAACCAAAGATTGAAAATCCTACAACTGAAAAAACTGAATAAAACTGCTGGAATAGTTTTATACAATATTTATTCAAAGCTTGTGGATATACATACATTAATAATATTAAGCACTTGCATATAACCTTCACCACATGGATCTCCTTCCTCCTAGTAATGATAATTTATTTTTTTAAATATCATTAAAAGAAAAATTTATTTGACTTGTACTTTAATTTAATTTTTGAAAATTTTGAGTGTACAGATTATAACTGCAAAATCAATTTTTTTTGACCAGCAATCCATGTATAAAAAAAGCTTTCAAACTCAAGGTTCAAAATTTATAATATACACTAGAATAAGGAAAATAATCTCCTGCTATATATTAATTTTATCATCTTTTCGCTAACATACTTAAGTTTTGGACAAATATTTTCCCTTTCTTTCTCCACCCTAATAAATTTCCTTCACCAAGTTAAAAAAAGGCAAATTTTTGACCTTAAAAATGTAATTTTTACGGCATAAGTTATTACATTAGGAATCTTTGTGGATGGCGCTTTTCAATAAATTAAAAGCCTCTAAAAAAAATAACTTTGAGGGTTTCCATCTAAGACAGAAAATCTGTTTAAAGAAATGGTGGTATCCACTCCCCTTTTATAATGATACATTTTTAATAGAAGTTATTTAGTAATTGACTTTTATTATATTACTTTTTTTTGTACACATCTTTTTAGTGACTACTTCATTAAAAAAATCTTAGTAAATATAATATCAGAGATCTGCAAAAAGTGCCAATTGCATAGCCCGGCTCGAATCTACGGATCATCCTTATCTTCGGACCGGCCCGGTTCGGGTTTTATATTTTCTGGCCGGGCCTTAAAATCTTTATATTATTTAGAATATATTATATTTTCAATTTTTATAAATAATAATGGTGATTTAAAATATTTGGTTACAAAATATTCGGATCATTATGGGTATGCCAAGGTTTATTTTTAAAAAATAAAGCTGTTTGATATATATAATATTTCTGTTATTTTTTTATAACCGAAACATTAAATATTGTTCATTAAAAATCTTTTAAAATCGTTTTTAAAGTTAAACATTCAATACTAATTAAATATTTTATAAGGGAAAATAAAATTATTATTACTTTCGAGAAGGTTTCAATTTAACTGATGATGATGTTTAAAAAATTAATGAATCAAAATTATCATTATTTTTCTAATAAACATTAAAACAAAAATACAAGAAGAGATTTTAATCATAAAATATATTCCCTTTGAAATATAATTTCAAGATTAATTTTTTTGTTTTTTTGCTTTTTTGCTTTTATAATTCCTTTTAATATCCATTCACTATTGATTTTAATGATTTCATAGGAGGGGGGGGGGGTTAATTGAGTGGGAATTTTCACTATAAATTACAGAATCGTTTTAGATCTCCTATTCCAAATCCTTTCGCAGGATTACACTAAAATATATATTTTTTCATAAGCTTTTAAAATGATTTTAACAAAAACAGACAAATTTACGAATAAGGGAATTCACCTCTTTCAGGTTACGCTAATGCACGCTTGCATTGATAACTCTTATAATTTGGACATTGTAATGGGAGTAGAGGGAACTAGCCCTTGCCAGTCACGCCGCTGCTTATTGTGTATGGGAGGATATAATTTTTTTTTCTTGCTTCACTAAATTCAGGCCTTTCTAACAAATATGATAAGTTGGCATAGTTAAAAACGATTGAAAATAACTCTTGGGTAATCCGGTGTGCATATCCCTTTTGCTAGAAGATGGTTCTCGTAGTTATCTAGTATACATATTAAGCCACTAGAACATTTACTCAAAATACCATATGGCCCCCAACACACTTCGCCTTTCACCTAAGTATATTCAAAGAATAAATAAGTATAATCATATAAAAAAATAATCAACCAAATATTTTCTTATACTTTTACATTCTACATATGCTCAAGAATTAAATGTAGTTTATTTAATTCAAGATACTTTCGAGCAAACATGGCAGCATCCACATTCGTCCAAAATTAGGTCGCCTTTGCAATCCTTGGGCTTGCTACAAAGACAATAGGAATCATCAGCATTCACCAATCTTTTATATTAAATTTTGTTTTTAAAGTATAAAAATTTTTTTTTCTATTCGATCAATTTTTTAATTATTGATATAAGTCAGGATCGGATCTATTTTCGAAAAATGTATTTTAGATGGAGAAAGACAGTTGATCAATTGGATTTCATTAAGCCCGCTTAATTTTAAAATTTGATGAATTATTAAAGATTCACTTTGCCGTTTATATTTTCGATTTTCATTTTCAAAAACGAATATAACTGTTATAGAACCAAAATTTAAGCTGATAATATTATAAAAAATAGGACCGGGCCGGATGGGCAACATTCTGAAAAATCGGCACTAAGCTGGACCTAACAATTTTTTTGCAAGTTTCTGAAATAATATTGATTACAAAAGCAGAATATTAATAATATCGGAACGGGTTTCTACAAATTATTCACAAATGAACAATATTTTAGCCAAAAAATTATTACATAAGCCTCGAAATTTGATCAAGAGAGGAGGCCAAACCTTTCTTCCCCGTGCCATAAATATGATGTATTATCGAGGCCTTGATTAAAATATTATTTTTGAATAAAATCTAGATTTCCCCGTTTTTCTTAAATCGGCTAAATTAAGTTCCTCGATAACACCAATCATGAAGGAGGAATTTCTTCATTTTGCAAGAAGAACAACAAAAGATCTGAGAATAGAGAGGTTGATTTTTTAAAATGTAAATAATTAATTCAAATATTATTGTAATTATTTATAATGAATGAATTTATTTTTGAATCTCGCTTAATTTTTATATTTTTCGAGAATAAAAAGAAGATTTAAATAGATATTGGAACAGAGAGAAGGCTGAATGATTATTTTATTGGACTTAATCCTATAACCGTTTCTTTTATTGGATAGCGTCTTTTGAACTTTTTGTTCAAAATGAAGAGTTTTCTAACCTATGGAAGATAGATTCTTTCATAATTGTCAAAAATTATATGTCTATTAATATTAAACTAAAAAAAGAACCCTAGTGAAATGTGAGAATGAGCTTTAATTTGTTCGTACACATTCCATGAAATATTTTTTTGTATAAAATTTTCTTGGGATTCTTATATTTTATTCAAAAGAAAATATGGATATATTTATCTTTATATTTAACTATTTTTCACATATACAAAAATAATAGATATATAAGGAGTTATGAAAATATGATTTTGGTAATTTTGTCACAATCACAAATGAATGAAAATATTAAAAAGTTTTATAAATTTAACTTAGTTGATTTTGACGATGAATATTTCTCTATTTAATTAATTAAAATATTTTTAAAAAAAACTTGACTGAAAATGCTTTAAAATATGCAAGAAAATTTATATCGCATTATCAAACTTACCTATTAGAATTGAATAAAACCAATACAACTCCAAAACACAATTTTACAGCTAATTCCATATTTTTTTAAGAAAAATTTTTTTTTAATGAAATTAAAATAAAATTTAAAAAACTTTCCAAGGACGTTTTTAACCATTGCTAGTATTATAAATGTTTTGAGTATTTTGTTCCTTTCTTTTAAAATTCTGAAGATGACAATGCCTATATAATTCGAGTTTGATAACAATGTTTGAAATATAAATGTTATTGTGACGAGGATATTTAATATAGGATTAGATAAATCAATTTTTTAATAAAAAACGAGAAAGGTCAAAATGGGTAAAATTCCTGCAAAATAGAAAAGACCGGGGTTAGTTGGTGCATTGAGCTACAGTTTATTTTATTTTTGTAAACGTTTTTATCTTCAAATTTTATTTTCGAATAAAATTCTATTGTATCTGTATCTGTATCTTTATTTAAATTATGGAAAAAAAAATATGTCCTTGAGGTAAAAATGGAAATATTTTTATATAGCAATTAAGGAATTATATAAAGTTATAACTCTCTAATTATATTTAACAATTAAATAAGTATAATCATATTTTTAAAAAAGTATCCTAATATGTTTTTTTACTTCTATATTTTACAAATGTTCAAGAATTAAATGCAGTTTATTTAATTCATATAGCAGATTTCACAATCGTCCATAGTTAGGTCGCCTTTGCAATCCTTAGGCAAATATAAAATCATGGACGTGTGGAATCATCAGCATCCACAAATCTTTTATATTGAATTGTATTTAGAGTATAAACAAATAAATTTCCCAATTCGATCCATTTTTTAAGAATCGATAGACATAAGTCAGGATCGGATCTATTTTCAAAAAATTTATTATGGCTGGAGGAAGACTATTGGTCAATTGGATTTCATTAAGCCCGACAACTTTCCTTTCGAAAGTAATGCCAATTAAATAAAAGATTCACTTTGCCGTTTATATTTTCGGTTTTTCTTTCAAAAGCGAATATAACTATATAGAACCAAAATTTAAGATTATAATATTAAATAGACCGGATCAGACCGGCTTCTAAAAAATAAATTCTCGTGCCTAATAATTATTAATGTATGTTTACACATGCTTTGAATAAATATTGCATAAAATTATTCCAGCATTAACAGTTAGTAACCTGTAGGAACATGTGCTAACATTTTCAATCTTTGATTATAAAACTAGAATGGTTAACTAACATTAATATGTTTTGCTAGATAATTAGACTTTTATTTCTCTCAAATATTCTAATTGCTAAATAAGCTTTTAACATTTATAAGTATGAATCTCTTTATAGTAAGAAATTTTATAATATTAACCTCTAACTCAGACATAAATCTAAACATAATCTACTATCCTCTACATTTGTGTTTAATGGAACAGCCTTATCTCTAATATTTCATCAGCCAGATATATACTTTTCCGATTTTCATATTCCATTAACCAAGAACATTCTATCTATATGAAGTATAATAATATTCTCCAAATGATTCAAATGTATCTATCTCTGAGACTTGCTCATATATTTAGAATAAATGTTGATGGTTTATAATCTTTATTTCTATTAGATATCTATATTTCCTCGTCCGACCCATTGAAATCGAAAAAATTATGAGCTTTGAAAGATATTATAAACCTATATTTATTATTATTCTTAAATAGTATTTATAGAAACATTTGGAAAACGAAATACTTTAAAATCTTTTCAAATTTTCGAGTCTAGTCCAAAATTTTTTTATAATAATCCAGAAAATTTCTATCCGTGTTCAATTTACCCGAGTTCTGTTGAATCGGATTTATTCTTTAATGCCGGTTCTAATTTACAAAGAGGCATTCACATCTATATAAAATAAGGATAAATATTTATATAAGATTAAACTTAATATACTGTCAAAGGTATAATGTGTAAGGCATATTTAATTAATTTCGTTCCTGAACAATTCAGTGAACTGGGTTGCAAGAAGAAAAAAATTGGTAATTGAAATCTGTATAAATCTAAAACATGTCACACATATTTTACGAAGCTTTAAATTTTATTAAATAAATATATTCAACTTAATTTAAAATTTAATTGAGTCGTTTTTTTTAGAATAATTGGATAAAAGAATATTAAAAAGTTTGACAAATATCTAAATACCCTAAACTATTTTCCTAATCATAAATTATAATGCAAAACACAAATATTTACTCTAAAATTTACATTTAAATAAGAATTATCAAAATACAATAATAAATGAAGGACATATATGTTGAATCGAATCTCCGTGCCTAATAAGCTTATCGGCTATAGTCTAACATTAAAAGTAATTCACCCAGCTTTTAAAAAATATTATAGAGTCTTGAGTTAGTTTTTAATATATTTGAACATTTTCTTCTTCGATGTCCTATAAAAATGACTCAATTAAATTCTATGAAAAAAATTAGGATTTTAATATATTCTTATAGTAAAATCTAAAAATCACCAAAAAAACAATTGATCCATTTTCAAGTTATAAATATTTGTTTAGCCAACTGGTATCACTACTGTTCGTGCTACGGAACTCCTAATTTTATAATTTGCCTCGTAGTTAACAAACCATAAATTTTATTAATAAGTTCTTTTATAACTAGCTAGTTTAATTTACATTTAAACGTTATAGAAGAAGGGATAGGATTAATTGAATGGTATTGTAGGTAAAATAAATATTGTTCTGTTGATGTCATAGGGTGGAGAGAGGGAATAATCATTTGGGGTAATTTAATGTACTATGTTAGGATTAGGGTTGGAGTTAGAGCTAGCTTTAGGATTAGAATTAGGGTTAATGTTAAGATCAGGGTTAGGAGTTACGGTTAGGGTTAACGTTAGCTTTAGGATTAGGGCTAAGTTTAGGGTAGGGTTTAGCTTAGGGCTAGAGTTAGCGTTAGGGTTAGAGTTAGTTAGTGTTATGGTTAGGATTAAGATTAGGGTCAGGATCAGGGTTGGGTGAGGGTCTGGTTTAGAGTATAGTTAGGGTTAGAGTTAGGGTATGGTTAGTAGTTACGGTTAAGGTTACCGTTAGGGTTAAATTAGGGGGTTAGTATTATAGAGTTAAAGCTAGGGTTATGGCTATGTTAAGATTAGGGTTATTAGGGTTTGGGCTAGAATTAGATTTCCGTGCATTATATTATTTTTAATAAATTTAACTTTTAGCTTAAAACGAACCCTTAATTTAGATTCAGGGAAGAGATAAAATAATCAAGGCTGAAAACATGAACTCAAACCTTGAACCCAAACTCAACCCGTTTTCTAAAATTTAGGGGATCCAGCTATATTAAAATTTTTTTATTATTAACCTTTACTTATTAAACTTTAGTTCTCAGGATTACTGTGAAAATTTTCTCTTTTCGAGGGTTCAGTATGGGGCTTTTAAAGTCCAGATATAAATATTGAAATCTCATCACCATTAGGCAATTTGATTATCACTAATACACTAGTCTTTACTAGATCAATCTTATCATGATTTTATTATTGGAATAGCTCCCTCAAGATATAATTAAAGAATACTTTTTAAAAAAATAAACAACCAAGATCATAAAATGTATACTTCATATCCCTGCCTGTTCGATTGCATCGTTCATTTGATCAATATTTTAATATTTTTAACAATCGACT